GATAGTAAGGTGCTGGGGTCGCTGGCCCTCAAAGGGAGGACATTTAGAACTATATCCTCAGCTGGGAGTATTGTGATGGAGAACATTGATAGAGATTGTGGGCTGGAAGGGCTTAAAGGAGAACTATGGGGTTAAGGCTTTTCCCCATAGTTCTCCTTAGGGTAATGGGAGGACACAAACTAGCGTCCTCCCGTCACCCTAGGCACAGTATACTGCTCGCGGCATACTGAGACACTAAACCCCGGATTTAAATCTTAAAAATACATTCAAGTCCCTGAACTCTGAACAACAATGTATCATATTTGTGTATCACTCGGCTGTAGATCCTCCAATCATCTCTGACACTGTCCTTCCTTCTGGAGGGGGGCTACGTCTGTTCCCCATGGTCCCTGTGTGTGTTGTAGTCGCCGCTCCCTGCTCACTCCCGGGATGGACTACAATCGCTATACAAATTATTATACTAAACATGAGACTGTAGTCCATCCCGGGAGTGAGCTCGGAGCGGTGACTACTTTACAACATGACAGCACCAATTCAGAGATGAGTGGAGGATCTACAGCCGAGTGATACACAAATAAGAGACATTGTTGTTCAGAGTTCAGGGACCGGAATGTATTTTTAGGATTTACCTTCGGAGTTCAGTGTCACTTTAAGTAACCTAAATGACTCGGAGCCTTGAAACACGTACAGGACGAGCGCAGACCACAGAACGTCACCTACCTGCCCAGTCCGGCCACGCAGTGAACGGCTACACAGCACCCGGGATCTTCACAGAATTTCGCTTTCAGCAGATTCAACCAATCATCCACAACTTTGCTGGGGGGAGACGCTCCATCATCGAACGGCCAATCCTGAAACCAGAACAAATCGCATAAGAGATCTTTCCTTTTCTTTGAACAGTTCCCAATTACGATCCCACTTCTCACCGACATTCCCCACCTCCCGACTAAAGCCAAACATTAGAACTCCCTCCAGGGAGATATACAAGTACAAATCAATGCAGATCCGTGATTATTAATCCATCATTATATAGAATTTGTAAAATGCAACTCCGGCCTCCCCTCCAGTCGTCTATCTGACCTCCGGCCTCCCCTCCAGTCGTCTATCCGACCTCCGGCCTCCCCTCCAGTCTTCTATCCGACCACCGGCCTCCCCTCCAGTCTATCCGGCCTCCCCTCCAGTCTATCCGGCCTCCCCTCCAGTCTATCCGGCCTCCCCTCCAGTCTATCCGGCCTCCCCTCCAGTCTATCCGGCCTCCCCTCCAGTCTATCCGGCCTCCCCTCCAGTCTATCCGGCCTCCCCTCCAGTCTATCCGGCCTCCCCTCCAGTCTATCCGGCCTCCCCTGTCCCAGCCCCTTTCATTCATTGGATAACAGTTCTTTCAATCATGGGGGCTCAGCATCACATGTGGGCGTGATCTATGCAAATACAGCCCGCCTAGGAACGCCCACTACTCCAGACTGAACCACCCATCAAGCGTTTTAGTATTTGCATAACTCCTCCCAAGAGCCAGCCCACTGCTTGCATCAGGGCTCTTCAGAGAAGTACTAAGGCAGGGTAAAAGACAGGGCTGTACTTTGTGGCAGAGCTGTATAAATCTCCGGACAGGAGGGACAGAAATACAAAAAAACAGTTCCCTTATATGCATTTCAAGTGTTATTGCTTAAAAAAATGAAACCAAAAAGGTGAGTTCCCCTTAAAAAGTGATTCCCAATATTTTCGCTTGTTACATTACAGACGCATGTTAATCATTTGTATCCATGTGCGTCTTGTGTTACATTTGCTCCTTCACTTCCTGCAGCGTGAGGAATTAATCCTCGTCTCTTTCCTCTCCCGTCCCCGAAGCCTCAGAGCTCAATGACGATGTAGGTAATTCACCCCTCCGTCCGTCCGAGCGGGTGACGCCAGCCCGCAATGACTCATCTTCCAGCGGGCCGTGTACACAGCGGGGGGGGGACGAGCGTGTTGCCAGCCCGGGATTATTCCGCCGCAAAGCCTTTCATTAGAGTGACAAATATAGCCGCGATCGCGCTCTCCGGCAAGGTCTGCTATTTATAGCGCAATGTAAACACGCCGGCGCTGGAGGAAAGGCATTCGCTGCGGGCCTGAAGGGCCGCAAGCCGCGCACATGCGTTTCCTCCTTATCGGGGAGGGGGGGTGGGGGGCAATAGCCCAGGAGGTGCGGGGGATGCTTAAAGTGGATGAACATTGTAGCTGGGAGCTGCTAAAGAATTGTATACAAATCCGATAGATTATAAGATCGGGAATTATATATATATCTCCATCCCTCCGCTCTCTCTCTCCATCCATCCCTCCCTCTGCTCTCTCTCTCCATCCATCCCTCCCTCTGCTCTCTCTCTCTCCATCCATCCATCCCTCCCTCTGCTCTCTCTCTCCATCCATCCGCTCTCTCTCTCTCTCCATCCCTCTGCTCTCTCTCTCTCTCCCTCCCTCTCTCTCTCTCTCTCCCTCCCTCTCTCTCTCTCTCTCCCTCCCTCTCTCTCTCTCTCTCCCTCCCTCTCTCTCTCTCTCTCCCTCCCTCTCTCTCTCTCTCTCCCTCCCTCTCTCTCTCTCTCTCCCTCCCTCTCTCTCTCTCTCTCCCTCCCTCTCTCTCTCTCTCTCCCTCCCTCTCTCTCTCTCTCTCCCTCCCTCTCTCTCTCTCTCTCCCTCCCTCTCTCTCTCTCTCTCCCTCCCTCTCTCTCTCTCTCTCCCTCCCTCTCTCTCTCTCTCTCCCTCCCTCTCTCTCTCTCTCTCCCTCCCTCTCTCTCTCTCTCTCCCTCCCTCTCTCTCTCTCTCTCCCTCCCTCTCTCTCTCTCTCTCCCTCCCTCTCTCTCTCTCTCTCCCTCCCTCTCTCTCTCTCTCTCCCTCCCTCTCTCTCTCTCTCTCCCTCCCTCTCTCTCTCTCTCTCCCTCCCTCTCTCTCTCTCTCTCCCTCCCTCTCTCTCTCTCTCTCCCTCCCTCTCTCTCTCTCTCTCCCTCCCTCTCTCTCTCTCTCTCCCTCCCTCTCTCTCTCTCTCTCCCTCCCTCTCTCTCTCTCTCTCCCTCCCTCTCTCTCTCTCTCTCCCTCCCTCTCTCTCTCTCTCTCCCTCCCTCTCTCTCTCTCTCTCCCTCCCTCTCTCTCTCTCTCTCCCTCCCTCTCTCTCTCTCTCTCCCTCCCTCTCTCTCTCTCTCTCCCTCCCTCTCTCTCTCTCTCTCCCTCCCTCTCTCTCTCTCTCTCCCTCCCTCTCTCTCTCTCTCTCCCTCCCTCTCTCTCTCTCTCTCCCTCCCTCTCTCTCTCTCTCTCCCTCCCTCTCTCTCTCTCTCTCCCTCCCTCTCTCTCTCTCTCTCCCTCCCTCTCTCTCTCTCTCTCCCTCCCTCTCTCTCTCTCTCTCCCTCCCTCTCTCTCTCTCTCTCCCTCCCTCTCTCTCTCTCTCTCCCTCCCTCTCTCTCTCTCTCTCCCTCCCTCTCTCTCTCTCTCTCCCTCCCTCTCTCTCTCTCTCTCCCTCCCTCTCTCTCTCTCTCTCCCTCCCTCTCTCTCTCTCTCTCCCTCCCTCTCTCTCTCTCTCTCCCTCCCTCTCTCTCTCTCTCTCCCTCCCTCTCTCTCTCTCTCTCCCTCCCTCTCTCTCTCTCTCTCCCTCCCTCTCTCTCTCTCTCTCCCTCCCTCTCTCTCTCTCTCTCCCTCCCTCTCTCTCTCTCTCTCCCTCCCTCTCTCTCTCTCTCTCCCTCCCTCTCTCTCTCTCTCTCCCTCCCTCTCTCTCTCTCTCTCCCTCCCTCTCTCTCTCTCTCTCCCTCCCTCTCTCTCTCTCTCTCCCTCCCTCTCTCTCTCTCTCTCCCTCCCTCTCTCTCTCTCTCTCCCTCCCTCTCTCTCTCTCTCTCCCTCCCTCTCTCTCTCTCTCTCCCTCCCTCTCTCTCTCTCTCTCCCTCCCTCTCTCTCTCTCTCTCCCTCCCTCTCTCTCTCTCTCTCCCTCCCTCTCTCTCTCTCTCTCCCTCCCTCTCTCTCTCTCTCTCCCTCCCTCTCTCTCTCTCTCTCCCTCCCTCTCTCTCTCTCTCTCCCTCCCTCTCTCTCTCTCTCTCCCTCCCTCTCTCTCTCTCTCTCCCTCCCTCTCTCTCTCTCTCTCCCTCCCTCTCTCTCTCTCTCTCCCTCCCTCTCTCTCTCTCTCTCCCTCCCTCTCTCTCTCTCTCTCCCTCCCTCTCTCTCTCTCTCTCCCTCCCTCTCTCTCTCTCTCTCCCTCCCTCTCTCTCTCTCTCTCCCTCCCTCTCTCTCTCTCTCTCCCTCCCTCTCTCTCTCTCTCTCCCTCCCTCTCTCTCTCTCTCTCCCTCCCTCTCTCTCTCTCTCTCCCTCCCTCTCTCTCTCTCTCTCCCTCCCTCTCTCTCTCTCTCTCCCTCCCTCTCTCTCTCTCTCTCCCTCCCTCTCTCTCTCTCTCTCCCTCCCTCTCTCTCTCTCTCTCCCTCCCTCTCTCTCTCTCTCTCCCTCCCTCTCTCTCTCTCTCTCCCTCCCTCTCTCTCTCTCTCTCCCTCCCTCTCTCTCTCTCTCTCCCTCCCTCTCTCTCTCTCTCTCCCTCCCTCTCTCTCTCTCTCTCCCTCCCTCTCTCTCTCTCTCTCCCTCCCTCTCTCTCTCTCTCTCCCTCCCTCTCTCTCTCTCTCTCCCTCCCTCTCTCTCTCTCTCTCCCTCCCTCTCTCTCTCTCTCTCCCTCCCTCTCTCTCTCTCTCTCCCTCCCTCTCTCTCTCTCTCTCCCTCCCTCTCTCTCTCTCTCTCCCTCCCTCTCTCTCTCTCTCTCCCTCCCTCTCTCTCTCTCTCTCCCTCCCTCTCTCTCTCTCTCTCCCTCCCTCTCTCTCTCTCTCTCCCTCCCTCTCTCTCTCTCTCTCCCTCCCTCTCTCTCTCTCTCTCCCTCCCTCTCTCTCTCTCTCTCCCTCCCTCTCTCTCTCTCTCTCCCTCCCTCTCTCTCTCTCTCTCCCTCCCTCTCTCTCTCTCTCTCCCTCCCTCTCTCTCTCTCTCTCCCTCCCTCTCTCTCTCTCTCTCCCTCCCTCTCTCTCTCTCTCTCCCTCCCTCTCTCTCTCTCTCTCCCTCCCTCTCTCTCTCTCTCTCCCTCCCTCTCTCTCTCTCTCTCCCTCCCTCTCTCTCTCTCTCTCCCTCCCTCTCTCTCTCTCTCTCCCTCCCTCTCTCTCTCTCTCTCCCTCCCTCTCTCTCTCTCTCTCCCTCCCTCTCTCTCTCTCTCTCCCTCCCTCTCTCTCTCTCTCTCCCTCCCTCTCTCTCTCTCTCTCCCTCCCTCTCTCTCTCTCTCTCCCTCCCTCTCTCTCTCTCTCTCCCTCCCTCTCTCTCTCTCTCTCCCTCCCTCTCTCTCTCTCTCTCCCTCCCTCTCTCTCTCTCTCTCCCTCCCTCTCTCTCTCTCTCTCCCTCCCTCTCTCTCTCTCTCTCCCTCCCTCTCTCTCTCTCTCTCCCTCCCTCTCTCTCTCTCTCTCCCTCCCTCTCTCTCTCTCTCTCCCTCCCTCTCTCTCTCTCTCTCCCTCCCTCTCTCTCTCTCTCTCCCTCCCTCTCTCTCTCTCTCTCCCTCCCTCTCTCTCTCTCTCTCCCTCCCTCTCTCTCTCTCTCTCCCTCCCTCTCTCTCTCTCTCTCCCTCCCTCTCTCTCTCTCTCTCCCTCCCTCTCTCTCTCTCTCTCCCTCCCTCTCTCTCTCTCTCTCCCTCCCTCTCTCTCTCTCTCTCCCTCCCTCTCTCTCTCTCTCTCCCTCCCTCTCTCTCTCTCTCTCCCTCCCTCTCTCTCTCTCTCTCCCTCCCTCTCTCTCTCTCTCTCCCTCCCTCTCTCTCTCTCTCTCCCTCCCTCTCTCTCTCTCTCTCCCTCCCTCTCTCTCTCTCTCTCCCTCCCTCTCTCTCTCT